AATAGAGACTCTCCTTTCAAACCGCTGTAGATTATTTCTCTTGGAACCACCGTAGAATATTTCAGAGAACATCAACATCGGAAGTTCCATTTGTACTGAGGAAACAGCTGCTTGTTTATCGTATGAAAGTTTTTAATTAATCATGTAATGAAACTGACACAAATACAGACAGTTTTAGCTCCCATGGTGGTTGAAACCAAATAAAAGCAAACATTTCATAATATCGATGGAGTAACTTTCAACCTATCATTTGGAATAGAGTCCGACACACCCGGATCTTTCTGGATACAAAACTTAGTCATTTATTTTACTCCCAAGCACACGCAAATGCCAACCATTTAAAAGGGGAACTGAAGCTTATAGTTCAAATAGCAATGTTCGAGGGTTTTTTTCAGTCTTTGGGCCCAACTTCGCCTCGGAAAAATAGTTTAAAGTGGTATTATGGCCTCGTAGTACTGCGGCTGAGAAAAGCGATATCAGCGGTCATTTTAGCTCGCTCTTACGTCACTGGTGGGGAAGAAAGATAATAAACCCGTACTCTACCTACAGAAATTTGGTTTGGTTATGGAGTTATCGAAGTTGCGTGACTTGTAATGGGGTTTAACTACGAAAATGAAATAGTAACAGTTGTTTTTCTTAAAGTCGTTCCCCACCACTGGCGTCATAAACGACCGCTACTGACCTATTTTGAGCCGACGGTCTTACAACCCCAAAAGCGGGAAAAAGGCAACTTCAAATCGAATTTTCTCGTAAAAAAGAAGAAGTGAACGAAAATGAATATCGACACTTTATCTTACTCCTCTGAAGCTAACTAGAAATAAATGCAAACAATATACCAATTTTAGGTTTCAGTTCCCCTTTAAGCTTTTATATTGGCAACGCTTGACTGATAATTTTGTCATTTTTATTTCTTAACCAGTCTTATTAGTTTTAGGAGTACATTACTTTTCATAAATTTTTTCTTCAACAAACCTATGTTGATTCCAGTTTTTTTGGCATACTTGAAGAGATATCTGATCGTGAAGTTCGAAGTCGGGTTTTACAGTGCGGGCCACAGGAGACCTGAAAAACTCAGTGTTGTCGTTGTCTGACATCTCGCCAATCAGCGGAAGTCATCATTAAATTAAACTGAAGGAAAGATTGAAGCAAAGTTGAGCAGTGCTGATATAAGGGTAACATATATTTCATCATAATTTGGATATATCAACAAAGTTGAAATGGTAAATTGGCCACCGTAACGGTTACATTCGCTGACGTTTCGAGCGTTAGCGAAGGGCTAACGCTCGAAACGTCAGCTTTCGTAATCGTTACGGTGGCCAATTTACCATTTCAACTTTGTTGATATATCCAAATTATGATGAAATATATGTTACCCTTATATCAGCACTGCTCAACTTTGCTTCAATCTTTCCTTCAGTTTAATTTAATGATGACTTACGCTGATTGGCGAGATGTCAGACAACGACAACACTGAGTTTTTCAGGTCTCCTGTGGCCCGCACTGTAAGACCCGACTTCGAACTTCACGATCAAATATCTCTTCAAGTATGCCAAAAAAACTGGAATCAACATAGGTTTGTTGAAGAAAAAATTTATGAAAAGTAATGTACTCCTAAAACTAATAAGACTGGTTAAGAAATAAAAATGACAAAATTATCAGTCAAGCGTTGCCAATATAAAAGCTTAAAGGGGAACTGAAACCTAAAATTGGTATATTGTTTGCATTTATTTCTAGTTAGCTTCAGAGGAGTAAGATAAAGTGTCGATATTCATTTTCGTTCACTTCTTCTTTTTTACGAGAAAATTCGATTTGAAGTTGCCTTTTTCCCGCTTTTGGGGTTGTAAGACCGTCGGCTCAAAATAGGTCAGTAGCGGTCGTTTATGACGCCAGTGGTGGGGAACGACTTTAAGAAAAACAACTGTTACTATTTCATTTTCGTAGTTAATCCCCATTACAAGTCACGCAACTTCGATAACTCCATAACCAAACCAAATTTCTGTAGGTAGAGTACGGGTTTATTATCTTTCTTCCCCACCAGTGACGTAAGAGCGAGCTAAAATGACCGCTGATATCGCTTTTCTCAGCCGCAGTACTACGAGGCCATAATACCACTTTAAACTATTTTTCCGAGGCGAAGTTGGGCCCAAAGACTGAAAAAAACCCTCGAACATTGCTATTTGAACTATAAGCTTCAGTTCCCCTTTTAAATGGTTGGCATTTGCGTGTGCTTGGGAGTAAAATAAATGACTAAGTTTTGTATCCAGAAAGATCCGGGTGTGTCGGACTCTATTCCAAATGATAGGTTGAAAGTTACTCCATCGATATTATGAAATGTTTGCTTTTATTTGGTTTCAACCACCATGGGAGCTAAAACTGTCTGTATTTGTGTCAGTTTCATTACATGATTAATTAAAAACTTTCATACGATAAACAAGCAGCTGTTTCCTCAGTACAAATGGAACTTCCGATGTTGATGTTCTCTGAAATATTCTACGGTGGTTCCAAGAGAAATAATCTACAGCGGTTTGAAAGGAGAGTCTCTATTTGATTTTTCTTCTTCAAGTAGACCTCTATATTTAAAAATTCCATAAGGAGTAGAGTTGAAAAGAAGTCGTTTCTTAAATTCAACTGCCTTAAAATATATAATTTGATGATGACATTTTAGATCGTATTTTTTCCGGTTTTTCGGTTTTGAATGATTTTTTTTGTTTCCAATAGAACCAATGCCCTCCCCCCCCCCCACCAATAAGCAGTTAGCTCACAGTGATATATAATTCCAAATGAGTATTCACAAGCTCATTAATTAAGTCATTTCTGTTTCTAAAATCATGACGGTTTAGAGAGGGTAAATCGTACTGCTGCGTCGGTGGGGAGGGGGGTTTACACGGTTAACTTGATTTTATCAACTGTGTTAATAATGTAAATAGGCTACCGTAGAGAGTTTCTAAAGGTGACGTTTCAAGTGTAAGTCCTTTGTCATTGGCTCTCATGAAGGGCTAATGATCGAAACGTCTAAGAAGACATCACTAAGGAAGTGATGAAATGTATGTTACCCTTATATCAGCAGCGCTCAACTTTGCTTCAATCTTCCCTTCACTTTAATTTCATGATGACTTCCGCTGGTTGGCGAGATGTCAGTCAACGACAACAGATGTCAGTCAATGGCCCGAACTATAAGACCCGACTTCGAACTTCACGATCAAATATCTCTTCAAGTATGCCAAAAAAACTGGAATCAACATAAGTTTGTTGAAGAAATAAATTATGAAAAGTAATGTTTCCTGAAACTAATAGGACTGGTTTCGAAATAAAAATGACAAAACTATCAGTCGGGCATTGCCAATATAAAAGCTTTAATGCTTGGCACAAGCGTGTGCTTGGGAGTAAAATAATTGACTAACTTTTGTATCTAAAAGGTTCCGGGAGTCCCGGACTCTATTCCGAATGATAGGTTGAAAGTTACTCCATCGATATTATGAAATGTTTGCTCTCATTTGGTTTCAACCGCCACGGAGGCTAAAACTGTCTGGATTTGTGTCAGTTTCATTACACATATAATAAATTCAAAAACTGTTTTAGGACATTGAAATTACGACTTCTAATACGACAAACAAGCAGCTGTTTCCTCAGTACAAATGGAACTTCCGATGTTGATGTTTTCTGAAATATTCTACGGTGGATCCAAGACAAATAATCTACAGTGGTTTGAAAGGAGAATCTCTTTTTGATTTTCCTTCTTCAAAATGCATGGACGTCTATAATTAAAATTCCATAAGGAGTGGAGTTGAAAGTAAGTTGTTTATGACATGTTTTAGATCGTACCTTTTTTCCGGTTTTTCGGTTTTGAATTATTTTTTCGGTTTCCAATAGAACCAATGCCCCCCACCAATAAGCAGATAGCTAATGGTGATATATAAGTCCAGATGAGTTTTCACAAACTCATTAAGTCATTTCCTTTTCTAAAATCATGACGGTTTATCAAAATATCACTGAAGGTGAAGAGGTGGTAGCTTTCGAGCGGTTGTTTTGCTCTCAGGAGTTAACTGCAGGAATTCACGGCTATCTGATATTTCTTTCGGTGTTCAATTTCCTACTAGCCATTTGTTCATCTCTGGGGAATATTCTGATCTTGATTGCCCTTCACAAAGAGAAATCTCTTCACGCACCCTCCAAACTGTTTCTCCGATCCCTGGCTACCACTGATCTCCTCGTTGGTGTAATTTCTGAGCCTCTAACGATCACCTTCTGGATATCCGCGGTGAGAAAGCGATGGGATGACTGCTACAACACATTTTTCGTGGGCATCATTGCGGGTTACCTTATTTGTAGCGTATCTTTGTCGATATTGACTGCAATAAGCGTGGACAGACTTCTTGCCTTATCATTGGGACTGAGATATAAACATATTGTAACTCTGAACAGGGCACGAGCGATCGTTCTTGTGGTCTGGATTTTGTGTACGGTATGCTCCGTGTTGCACGTACATAATGCTCGCATAACAACTTGGTACAGCCATATATTGATACCTGTCTGTATCGTAACCTCAGTTTTGTCTTACACACTGATTTTCAGGAAACTCCGCCGCCATGAAATTCAAGTACGCAGCAACATTGTCCAGTCTGAGCAGTCAAGCAGCACAAGTTCAGAGCCACTGAACATTTCTCGATACAGAAAAGGAGTGTCCGGTGTAATGTGGCTGCAGTTAGCAGTAGTTTTTTGTTATCTTCCATATGTTATAACTACAGCTTTGTGGACCTATAGTGGACGGTCAGTGTCTATTGCAGTGCTCAGACAATTTGCAGCGACTTTAGTTCACTCAAATTCAGCTCTAAACCCGTTCCTTTACTGCTGGAAGATCAGAGAAGTGAGACAATCTGTGAAAGAATTAATCAGAAAAACGCTTTCTCGTCCATGAGCTCTAAGGTTGGAAAAAGTCTCCCTCCTCCCTGCTGAACTGATAAAGGTTTAGGCTTTGGTTAGAGCCCAGCATACTCCCTCTAAGAAGTGGTCCTTCCCTCTGTAGTATTTCGTGCTCTGTCACTGCCTCCTTACTACAATTGAAGATGCCGTCATTCGGAGACAATGGTACATCCATTTTAAAATTCTGGCATCAATATGACGGATTTGAGCATGCAGTTACTGAAAATAACAGATAATATTTCATGTGTCATCTCTATACATAGTAAACTTGGTGTTATGTAATCGATGCTTTCCAGCTCTTTGTGGCATTATTGTGAAGGAGAATACAATGTAGTCAAAAAGCAGTTAAAGTTTCGAAAGCTGTGATAATTCTTGTATTTCAAATTAACTGTAGATTTTAATTTTTTTTTTAACCAGGATATAGAAGGTTTCAGTTGGAAGATTTAAATCATTACCTTTATATGTGATCATTACCGAAAAAGGCATTATTGAAAAAGTTAAAAAAAATTTAATGCATTTCAATGAAAGATATTTCAAGATAAGTTACAAGGGAAATGTCAAGACAAGAAAAAAAATTGGTTCGAATATTTGTTCGTTCTTAAAAAACAATAGGTTACAGTTCTATAGCTCTAAAAATTTTGTTGTTAATCAAAGGATATCTCTATATCATTCCGCGGTTCCCATCGGGAGTTAATAAATCTTGAAACAATCGACTATTCGTACAGTGCATTGATTACACATGCACCTGTCTTGTAATTATTAGCAACGAGCTTAGTATGGGTTCAAAGGTGAGCACTTCGTCACTAAATTCAGGAAATGTATTAGTCGCAGTAATCCTACTGTACTGGAAATGCCTGCATGCTGTTAAATAAATTACCTCAGTAAACTCTTCTACTTCTATATATGTGTAATGTACATATGATACACGATCCTCGCAGTAGATAGCGCTATTTAAGCAATAGCGAAAATCAGACCTGAAAAAAATCAGGCCTTGTACGGGATTCGAACCACTGACCTCTGCGATACTAATGCAGCGCTCTACCAATTGAGCTAACAAGCCAACTGGGAGCAGGCCGTTAAGTTGATTCGTAATAAACCCGGGAAAGTGATAAATGAGATACAATGAAATATATGAAGTTCATATATTTTGTATTGCCGTATTAGATACATATGATACACGATCCTCGCAGTAGATAGCGCTATTTAAGCAATAAAAAATATATGAAATATATGAACTTCAAAATATACAAAAAAATAAAAAATATACAAAATATACAAAAAATATACAAAAATATACAAAAAATATACAAAATATACAAAAAATATACAAAATATATGAACTTCATATATTTCATTGTATCTCATTTATCACTTTCCCGGGTTTATTACGAATCAACTTCACGGCCTGCTCCCAGTTGGCTTGTTAGCTCAATTGGTAGAGCACTGCACTAGTATCGCAGAGGTCAGTGGTTCGAATCCCGTACAAGGCCTGATTTTTTTCAGGTCTGATTTTCGCTATTGCTTAAATAGCGCTATCTACTGCGAGGATCGTGCATCATATGTATCTAATACCGCAGTACAAAATATATGAACTTCATATATTTCATTGTATATGTGTAATGTGTTAGCCTTTGGCAATAATGGAGAGACAGTCCCTTTGTATCTGAATAACGACACTACAAACAAATGTTTCACCAATGTAAACCTTTCCGCACTCGCAAGGACTCCTGTGGAACGGAATCCAAATCAAATCCTTTGTTTATTCGCTGATATTTTTCCACTGTCGTGGTGGCGCACGGAGAATACCTCAGTTGTTGATTCACGGGAGGTTAAGCGAAGTAAATACAGTGATGCGAATGAAGCTCCAGCTGTTAGCTCGGAGACGGCTGCAGATACCTTCCCCTATGATGTGTGCACTGAGCTGTGCAGACGTGTCTTTAAGTGTACCGATCTATCTCACAAACTCTTCTCTTATCCTGAACCTACATATCCTGAAAACCACTCAGTATGACGGGTAACGACACACTACGAAAGGAAAATCAAGCTTTGCGTAATGAAAGTGAAGAACTAAGGAACAAACTGCAGAAAGTTTCCGACGACCTGTCAAAGCCACATGGCCGACACGCTGAACGAAAATTGTTACCTGGAAAAGCGCATTCCATTGAATTTATGTCAAGCCAATATGACGACTTCGTTTGCTTCGAAGTGGAAGCTGAGAGACAAATTCAGGAGCTTATCTCAAGAGTTAACTAAATGTCAGCTTTGTGCGATCAGATTAGAAAATCTATCGAAGCCTCCGAAGCATACAGCTACCAATTCATTATTAAAATCGTGGTTGTACCAACTGTAGCCGAACGGGAAGCATTTCAACAAACAGCCGAACTCTATATGTCGCTCCTCGCTGCTTTGGGAGTTGAAGAGGTATCATTGAAAGACATCGACACTGCACATAGGGTGCCATCTCAAGTGGCTTCCAACAGACCCAACGCCCTCGTTTGCAAATTCGTGCGTAGGATAGCTAGAGAGAAAGTCATGGCAGCCAGGAGAGGAGAGTCCAACTTAAATGCAGAAGATATGGCTTAAGTAGCGAGTTAGATGTTAGCCACATCAACCTATATGATCATCTTACACCAAGAGTGCAAGAGCTACTATTTGAGAGTAAAAAAATCAAGGATGCAAATAGCTACAAATACTGTTGGGCGAATAACGGATTCGTTTAGTTGCGGAAGACAGATACCTCAACCACTGTAAAACTGAGTACATTAAAAGACCTGCAAGGAGTGGCATCTCAAAATTGAGCCAAGTACTCTTAGATGATATGATGACATGATGATTAGAATCAGAGCACAATGAAGTTGTGTGGAAATAAAACGGATGAAAGGGCCAGTAAATTTTGGGAATTACCCTACTTTAATTTTAGCGTTAACTTGGCTGTCTATCATCATGGACGGTTTAATATCTCCATCTCTGTTTAGTGGTGGTTAAGGCGTAATTTAGATAAATTAAACAATTTATACGATTTAGATATCTTTAGCCTAAACTCTAATATGGATGCTAATTTGAATACTGGAGTTTAACCTCCCTAATCAACACATCCAAAGTCGATATTTTTCTCCGCATAGCTTTAAACTGTTCAAAGAAAAACTCCCTTAAAACACAGTTAAGTATATTTTTCCATCTTTCATAACAATAATGTGAGAATCAACTGCAATCTAGAAAATGTAGAATTGTTACTAGACGAACTAGATTCCACTTTGATGTTACTGGCGTCACGGAAACAAAAAATTAGAAATTCTAATGACAACAACGCCCTTCCGAGCATTCGTGGCTATGTTTTTGAGCACGTGCCAACGCCACTGGCCTCTGGAGGCGCTGGCCTTTTTCTTGATCAACCACTAAACTACAATGTCCTAGAAAAAACTTCAAATGAGGCATTCCAAGCCCTCTGGGTTGAAATCTCTTTTGTTAATCATAAAAACATTGTATGTGGAATAATGTATCGACAACACGATTCGCCCGATTATTTCCTAACGTATCTAGATAAGACAATAGGAAAAATCGTGTCAGATGACTAGGATGTTTATATCATGGGTGATTTTAATATAGATCTACTCAAGTATGAAACATCTCAAACAAGCCAATATTTTTTAATCTCTCTTCGAAGCTGTAATATTCCAACAGTGGATAAACCGACACGCGTTCAGAGAACTTCTGCTACGCTGATTGACAACATCTTCGTTAATCATCGTGACAAACTTCTTGCTAGCGGAAACATAATTTCTGATATTAGTGATCATTTTTCCAGGTTCTGTATCACAACGCTAGCGAAAGATAAACTTTAACAAGAAAAAATATAAAAATACCTGACTATTTAAGATTCTCTGCTAATCGCTTTAACGATGACCTGTCTAATGTTGACTGGAATCGATTAATTGCAAATGTATCAAATTATGTGAACAAATTGTTTTCATCGTTTTATAAAAAGTAAAATACAATTGTTAACAAACACGCCCCCATGAAAGAAATATCAAATCGCAAAGCAAAGCAAAGCAACTATCTAAACCTTGGATAACTAATGGAATTAAAGCGGCGATTAACATCAAAAATAAATTATATGCAACTGGAGACAATGCTAGGTACAAACACCAGAAGTAAAATTTGTACACTGATACGCTTAAGTAAAAGGAGATATTATGATGAGTTTTTTGAAAATAATATGGGCAATATAAATAAAAACCTGTCAAGGAATCAATGAACTTTTACATCGACGGAAAAAAAAAACAGTGATATCTGCATTAAAGGATTTCAACAATCGCAACAAAATTGTTAAGAAAGGCTCGCGGATACATAATATTATTAATGAACACTTTGCAACAGTCAGAAACAGACTTGCTAATAACCTGCTCACTCCCCGAAAACATCATCTAGACAATGTTTATAATTGCAAATCTCCAACTCCATCCTTCTTTTATTCAACCTATTTTACCCGATGAATTACTGTCAGAAATATTACTTGTACCGAATGATAAATCTTATGGTTTGTACTCCTCACCAACCAAATTATTCAAATGTTCGAGTACCGTCATAGCTCCTGTCCTTTCAGAGATACTTAATACATCGATCAGATTAGGGACTTATCCATCAAACCTCAAAATTACTAAAATTACACTAGTATTTAAGAGTGACGATGATACTGACGCAAACAACTACAGACCTATCTCTTTACTTTCAAACTTTAACAGAGTACAGGTGGTTTGTAACCAATCTCTAGTAACACAGGTAACAATGGTGAAAGGAACAAATGCTGGTGGACAAACAAAAGAAGCTAATGAGATATCTTTTGCTTAGGTCGACCAACATGGCGGCCATGACGTAACGTGCAAACCACCTATTCGAGAAAATAATTTACAATAGATTGACGAGCTACATAAAGAAACACGAGCTTTTGTATTCCTTACAATACGGCTTTCGTAAGGGTCATTCAACCCAACACGCAATATTAGACATTGTTAATGATATTGTTAGATGATAAAATTACAACTATAGTTTATCTGCAATATCGTAAGGGTTTCCTTATATTGGTGTCAGGAAAAGGAATGGAAATATTATGTTTTTTAAGTCATTTAATGAAATTATAAAAAGGGTAGGTTGATTACTTCTTGCTCCTTTTTGGAAGTCTTGTCTTAAAGGTAGAGTTTGGTCATGTTCTTCTTGTGAGTTTGGTCACGTTCACCTCGTGAGTTTAATCGCGTTTTCCTCGTTATGATCGTGAGGTTGACATGGAGACAGTTGTTCAGTAGTTGCAACTCGTGATAAGCCCTGTTTTTAATTAAATTAATTTGTTAGTCCAGGAAGAGTAACTCTCCCTGGTAATAGGTCGCGTTCGACACCTTCCTGTTCCCAGAGGTAACGCAAAGTGAGAACAGGTGATACATCTCATGTTTCGCAACCAAAATAGGTTTTGCGACTAGCACAGAGCAACTTGGGGGCGGTTCTTGTGAACACCCTTTCTTCTTTAACTCTTGTGACCAAGATGCTATTATGCAACAAGTTTAAAGGTGATTTTCTCTTAAGACATCCTTTCAGGTATAAATAATACTCTGACAAAAGGTTAGTTATAATTTTTATGTCACCAATCTCGTTTCTGTTCTGGCCGATCTCAACCGTAAATATGAGAAATTTAACGTAGAAATTGATTTTGTAACTGCGCAAACAACTCGAAGATGCATACTCAGTATGTGAGAACTGTAATACGTAGTCTAACGTGATTCGCTAGTTGAGATGGTGCGATGCATGCACAAGAAGATTGACAGTTTAGAGATGTCATCCGCAGTGTCACCTTTCTAAGCGGTGACTCTAGTTTTCCATATTAGATAGAAGGTAGTCCCCGTTGTAACAACTTGTGACTGAAGAAAGAGATTAAAATAGAGTCAACCAACCAAACGACAAGTGTTAGAGAAATTATTTCTGACAATATACAGGCAAACATGAATCAATGATTGCTATCTTATGGAATATTCACTGATCTCAAAAAGGCTTTGGACACCGTCGATCACGACATTTTGCTTGATAAACTCAATCAGTCTGGCTTTCGTGGYATAATTAATTAATGATTGGTTCTCTTCATATCTTAAAAATCGCGTGCAAAGAACGCAAGTAGGCCATCGTATTTCAGATAAAGCTGTCCTTGGATGTGGTGTTCCTCAAGGATCAATTCTTGGACCATTAATTAACTTGCTACCTGTCAACGACATCCACAGATGCTCGAATAAATTTAGGTTTTACCTCTTTGCGGACGACACCAACCTTTTGTATGCGAACAAAAGTCTGAAAGACCCTAAAACAATGGTCAACAACGAGTTACAAAACCTTTCTAACTGGTTGACAGCCAACAAACTCACACTAAAAAATCCAACTTTCTAATTTTTCATCTTTACCAAAAGCGACTGGCTTACTAACCAAAACTCTACATTTTTGATAAAGAAAAGAACAAATATGTTCCTCTTGAGTCTTAAGTTTACATAAAATATCTGGGCGTTCTTACTGATCAGAATTCTCTCTTGGAAATACCACATTGATTCTATTGTTACAAAAATTAGTAAAAATGTTGGGCTACTTGCAAAGCTACGCCACTCTGTACCTCGACAAATACTAGTGAATATCTATAAGTCACTAATCCACCCCTGTTTAACCTGTAGTCTTGCTACCTGGGATCAGGCATGCAAGACTTATCTTAACAACATTCTTATTCTTTAGAAAAGAGCCCTTCGTCTGCTGTAAATCGCAGACTGGCATGACCATACAATTCCTTTATTTCTTAAAGCAAACGTGCTTCCGATAACTTTTCTTTATTACGGGCCCGTATTAACCCTAATGCACGATATCAATTATGATAAAGCCCCAGGAAACACTAAATCTATTTCAGAAAACGTCTGATATTCATTCATACAATACACGATCGTTTTACGTCTGGAAAGTTTTATGTTAAAAGTTCGAGACTAGAAATACAAAACAATTCCTTGTCCCGGATCGGCGGAGTACCAAGCTGTAAAACGGATCTTCCAAAGAAAGCTTTCAAAAAAGTCCTTCGCAAATTGCTATTTGATATCTTAGAAAAATAAGATAATTATATTCAAATCCCCATAATCACTAAAATAGTAGGTACATAGATACACCTTCAAAGTTTAAATGCCTTCTTAAGGCTTTTTCTGTGTGACTCTGTGACTGTGTAAATAACGACTCCTTGTCCTTAGATACTAGACGGTTTATGTTATTCAGGTCAGTGTCTTGCCATCGCCACGATAAGCTTTCTAGCTATTTGCGGGGCAAACTATCCCACTTTTATTTCATCTATAAAAAAATATGAGAGAATAAAAAGGTGTAAACATGATTTGGAAATTCTAGCCAGCATAAAAAACTTATTTGTGTTTGACTCGCCCATGCGGGTTTGTCAAAATACGGCACAACTCGTTAAAATACTCAGCGATACTACACAACAAAGCATCCAATAAGATATAATCTTAGCCTCCCACTTAGTCAATAAGGCATATATGTAATAAGACTCTTCTCACTATTTTGTACAATATGATGATATCATGAGTTATCATGAGGAAATCAAGACACTCTGAATTGTACATATTTTCCTGTCTTTTAATCAAATAAATGTTTCACTTTTGTTTCTTATTTTCTCAAAAGAGATCGCTTCTGTTACTAAGGAAGAGGTGTAAGTACTCCTCCGAAGTCCCTGCAGAAACCTCCCACTGTTCAGCAGAGTCAACGTGTAACATTGCGGCTAGCGACTGAATTCAATCACCGAAGAAAGCAGTTTTTCCTAGATCAAAAAAGTTCTTAAGGTTGTAGAATTTTTCATTAAGGAAAGGTAGCTGTTCTAAAAGAATGTCTAATGTTTTCGCGTTTTCGAAGGATGATCGGGACTGGGTTAGTTTACCTGAAAACAACAAAGAGTACAAATAAAATTTTCCGCTTACTTGATGAGTGTAAGAATTAGCTATAGGTATGCTCAATCTCAAATGTTCTTTCACCGTAATTACAATCGTTTATCCTTCTCCAAAACTTTTAGATTCACGACAGTGACACGGTACCTTTCCTGATTTTTCCGGATTCGAAAAAAGAAACTTTTGGAAAGCCCAATTCACTTTACTCTTTGATCAACAACTCGATCCCTGCGGTATGGAATCCCGATCATCTTTTCTTCTCTGATCTTTTTTCATTGTCATGGTAGTGCACGTTTATTTCGTCAAAGCGCGCGCATCTCGGTTAGGTACGCGCGCTGGTTGAAACTTGGGCTTTTTCCAATGATAATCATGTTTGCATGCTTCTGCATTTCAGGAAGAAATCTCACCTGAAAAAAAAAAAACTCTTACAATCATTCTTACTTTCGCCAAAACTAGGTATTGTAGCCACATCAACTTCATCGGCCGTTGCCTTCATTCTAAAGTTATTCCTAAGGGTTTTCAGTCCAATTTTCATGCATCTTCTTTTACCAACCAATATCATCACCAAATTCAGTGCGCCCAAAATTCTTTTTCACGCAACATTATGATAATTTCCATTAGAACCATGAGCCAAAAACGTAATCACCTCACCGAACATTATGAGAATTTCCATTAGAACTATGACTCTGGCTCGGGCAATATGGGCAACCATGCCCCACGTAAAGACATTAAACTTGATTACAGACTAAAAACAAATTCTACATTGCCGCTCTGAACTTTCCAAAATCTGTCCAGCAGTTTTATTAAAATCTATCCGCGCCAAAATTCAGAAAACTAATTCGAAACTTTTCAATCACTTAAACCAAATTAAGACCCAAAAACTTGACCAACTTATCGGTCCTCAAATTGCTAACCGCTCATCACCAGAAACCTCAAAACTGTAGTTACCATTCCAGAAAATCTTTCACTTTGCGATTCAGAAAAATCCGTCCTCAGCAAGGGCTTAAATTTTGTCCCATTTCTAAAACAACAGACGAATTCTCAGTTAAACAAGACGTAGAAAAATTCCTTCGCCGTGTTCAATTTTTTCATGACAGAGAGGATGATTTTAACACCTTAAATAAAGACACTTTCGAAACACTTCAGATTCGAAAGTCTATATGGACTCCCCCAGAAGGCCAGTTCGTATCATTGGACTTTTTCATCAAAAAATGTCGCCACGATATTAACAAAGTTAGTTTCAATCGTAGTACCAAATTGTCCAATCTTTCCTCTGAAGAGTGGTCGGCACTAAAAAGCCTTAAAAAACGCAAAGACATTATAATCAAAGCGGCCGACAAGGGCGGCGCAGTAGTTGTTTGGCGGACCGACCTCTACCAAAAAGAAGCTTTGCGGCAACTTTCTGACACCTCTTTTAATCAAAAGGTTGACAAAGATCTTACTTCCGTTAATCTAAACATCGTCAAAAATACAATTAACGAACTCATAGCTAAACAAGAATTGCCGGCCACTGCAAAAAATCTCATCATAACCACTCCTAGAACTTCTTGTATTTACTTTTTACCTAAAATTCACAAACCTAACAACCGAGGTCGGCCCATTGTCTCGGCTTGCAGTTGCCCTACCGAACTTATTTCCAGCTATTTAGACAAAATTATGGCTCCCATCGTCAAAACCTTATTATCATATACCAAAGACAACCAACACACTCTTCAAATTTTTTGTGACTTTAATTTTCTTGGCCAAGCACAAACCTCTTTTCACCATGGACATTACATCTCTTTACACTGTCATTTCTAATGGCGAAGGTCTTCTGGCCCTCAAACATTTTTTTGATCAACGTACTGTTAAGGAACCTAAATCTGAAACCCTACTTCGCTTAGCTGAACTAGTGCTCGCACTTAATTTTATTTCATTCGGGGACAACTTTTCCAAACAAACCAATGGCGTAGCTGAAAGACAGACAAACAGTAAAACAGAGGAACAGACATACAGTCAGGCATAGAGATAGAGAGATAGACAAAAATGCAGGCTGATGGAAAGCTAAACATACAGACACGCAAACAGATACTCAGACAAGGCAAAAGACAGTCAAACAGAAGAACAGACATACAGTCAGGCAGAAAAAAAGGCTCACGATCATACGGGGAGATAGACATACGGATATTCAGACTCAGGTACGGGGAAAGATAGACATCTAGGTAGACTAACAGAAAGATGATCAGACTGATAGGCAAACAGCAGCACGATAGAGATGACTGATCAACCTACTCACTGGCGGACTGAATGACTGACGGATGGAATTGCTAACCACGAAACAACAGAAAAAAATAAGCATTCATTAAACCAAGTAAAACAGTTACCTCATTATTCACTGCGAGAACTTGCTTCAAAAAATTTACCTTCTTTTTCAATTCATGTGAATCCTAGGATAAAATAAAAGATTATGAAAAAAGAAAACTTTGCATGACAACGGGAACATTACTGGATGTGTGGCCTGTACAAGTGATTCTTAATAATTAAAGGGCGGCGTCTATTTCAACACAATATTCCTTAAATCCCTTAGGGTAATAAAGGGAAATTGTTCCTGGACCGATCACAGAGGGAAATAAAGTAAAAACCAAAGTATTCCCGAATAACTTTCGACCCTCAATTCAAAAACTGCTCGATCAACATGTATTTATGGACAAGAGCAAAGCGTACTTGTCGCACTTACCTGACTGTTTGGGTGGCAAGGGCTCGTAAATAGAGCGCCAGTAATGACTGGTTTTGTTCAACAGGATACAGGTATTCCTCCACAGGGATGGGTAGCTAAAGGAAACAGAATAATATTGCACTTGCCATCGAATTGTACATTTAAAGTCATATGGCAATCTTATACAAAATGGTTACTTTAACCCTCTTCCCAAGCTTTGGTAGAAAGCTTTTACTTCGCAAAAACGGCAAGCTATAAAATAGTTGCATTTTGTAAATTTTATCGCCTTGAGTAGGGATCTTGAGGATGAACGACGGAAGTTCTATGCATTAGTGGTAGAGAATATAGAAGAGAACTAGACATTAGGGGAGGAAAAAGTTGGTTATTTTAAAGCAAGAAAAAGGTGAAACCTTCTGTAGATTTTACAGCAACCATTTTATTTAGTTTATCTGGTCTAAGGGTATCGACAGAGCTCGCAAGACCCCTATGTGTTCATCCCAAACAGCTGTTCTGAATTTCATGTCGTGCTTCTGAGCCAAAGGTAAAATAACAAAAGAACCAAACAGAGCATCTCCAAAGGAGACCGCGGAGTACTGGG